GAGAGCGCTGCGGAGGAAAAAACAAGTGATATCTGATGACGAGGCAGACGTTGGTGATGATCCAGAATTCAAATACAATCTCAAATCTTCAGGCCACAAAACCATGTACTCACTGAGACGAAATCACACCAACAAGGAAAATTCTGCAGCTGTAAAGCGTCCTCGAGCCTGCAAAAGAGAATACTTGTCTAGATGTGTGAAGAGCCAAATATTGAAAAGGAAAGGTCGTCAAAGATGGCTGCAGGGCCTTCCGAGGTTTGAGCCGGTACAGGTCCAGGTTCAGGTTCAGAAAGTCAAAGTTCCGGGGAAAAAACGGGGCCGGAAGCCTTTACAGAAACTTGAGCTCTCCTACCCTGAAAATGAAATTTCAATAACAGAGGAGGAGTCAGGTTTGGAGAAGATAACTGCCACAAGAAATAAGCTGGAAATGCTGCAGCGGGAGAGTGAACTTGGATTAAAAATTGAACCGGGAGAGAGAACCCTTGAGCAGATGACTGAGCCAAATGTGGAGAATGGACATGAGGAGCACACAGACATGGACTGTAGTAGCAGCCTCAATGAGCAAACTGCAGAGACATCTCCATCACAGCTTGTCGAAGGTCCTCCAAGTGAACCCCGAGCTGCTGTTGAAGCTGAACCTGAGCTTGATGGTCCACCTTTGGAGTTAGTCGACTGCCCAATAGAACAGTTACACAGCTACTCTCTTAAATCTAAATGTCCTGACAGTGAGAAATCACAGCCTCCAGAATCCTCTGCATCCGAGGAGCTTAATGGTGGTGATGCAGAACAGACACCCCAATCCAAAGAGGAAACAGAAGCGTCAAACACTAAGGTCAGTTGTGTGTCTGTTTGTTCGTAATACACATCAGCAAATCGGGCCTTAAATGTTCGGGGGTTTGAACTATTGCTTAGAATATACTGAACCCAATGCAGAGGGGGAGGAGGGATTTAATCTAGGCTCGTACTGTTAAACCACTGAAATCAGTTCTAAAAGCTTGTTTCTTTTTTTCCCAGGTGGTAGCCAAGAGAACGTGGAGGGAGAGAATGCTCCGCACTCAACAATACGCTCACTTGAAGTTTCACTGCAAAATGTGCCGCAAAGACTATAAAGGCCTGAATGTAATGAGGCACGCTCTGTCGCACCTTAAAAGAAGAAAATGCATACTCTGCGGGAAACGCTTTAAACAGATCTCCTGTGCCAAAAAGCACGTTTTGGACCACATCGATGAAATGTGCAAGCAGAAACCTCTCGATGGCACGCCGACTTCTGAGGAAACGCCAGCTGAAAATGGAATGGAGAACAATGTGGAAAGTCCAACCCGGCCTCCGGTTAGAAGAAAAGTCAAGGAGAAAGTGTCAGACCTCCAGAGGGACATTCGAATCATCAGGAACATCCGCACCCTCATCAAAAAGACGTCGGTGCTTCACAAAAAGTGCAAGAACCCAGGCGTTAACATAACAGAACTGGTAGACTTCAAGAACGAGCAGGTGGTCATTAAAGATGGAGTGGTGATTGTCAAAGATCAACCTGTGATCGAGGGAGAGGAGGAGGGCCAGTCAGCAGGACAAAACGGCTACGTTGCGGACAAGAAGTACCACCTGTGTCCCTCCGAGTCTTGTGATCGAGTGTTCTTGAGGATCAGCAGCACACTAATGAGGCACGCTGTCAAATGTCATGTTAACGAAGAGGCAGTGCTGGAGAAGGTCTTTGTTTGGGCCAAACACAAGTGCATGCTTTGCCTTAGGTAAGATGTACACCATATATCAGGCCAATCACAGACCACTTAATGTTTCTTTGACAGTGTTTACGTTTGTGTCTGCTGCGTTTAAAAGAAAATGATCTTTAACACAGGTTTGATTAAAGGGTGGGAAATTTAGGATTAATTGACTGGTTGAGATGCATCACTGCATATATTGTGTTCATGTCCATTATAGCTAAAGTTGTGATTTGGCTAATTATCCTAATCTCTAACTGTACATTACACCTTAATTTGGCTTCCTTGGTTGCCATAAAGAAATGTTTTGAAATGTCACATTTTTTTGATTTAAGAGGTTAATGTAATATTTACCTTTTGGTCACACTTAGGATTCTCCACTGTGAAGTCTGCTTTTGAAGGTAACTCGCATTGCTTATTGTCCCATCTTCCAACAGGAAAATACAGTTCCTCCAGCACTATAAGGACCACATGAAGAAGCACGATGATCCTCTCCAGTTCTTCTGCTACCATCTGGACTGTAACCAGCGCTTTTTGACACAACAGGAATTCAAGGACCATGTCAGTACCCACCAGCCCCTCAGGCCTCAGTGTCCATATACAGCGTGTGAGAAGCTATTCCCAAGCCTGCAATGTCTTTATGACCATGAGTGGAGACACTACATCCCAACACCTCAAAGAGACGAGCTCGAGATGGGACCCAGTAGACAGAAGGAAAGTGCGGAAGCACCATGGAAGCAGAGGGTGAAGGTAGAGGAAATATGGCTGCAGAGTAAACCAGAGCAGAGGGGGAGTCCTGTTCCTGATCATGTTGAGGCCTCTGATCTTGAGGATTGCAGAGAAACGATCAAAGAAGATTTACAAACGTCTTCACAATGTCTAACAGTAATCCCAAGCAGCAGTCAAGACCAGTTAAAATCTGAAAATTGTTCAGAGAACGATGCAATGGATGACAGCAAAGCTGCCATTAACGGACATGTGAATGAGACAATGAGCCAAGTGTCAGGGGGGCAGGTCTGCACTTTCTCTACTGGAGCTGCTGCAGCGACTCCAACTAAGACTTGCCCCAAAAAAACACGTGCCGAGTTGGACCCCTTGGATGTGAAAAACCGTGAGGATATGTCCTTTACAGATGAGGGAATCCCGCAGGAACTGGGAGCGCCAAAGATCACGGAGCACAAAACATTCAAACCAGAAGATCCCGCCTTCGTGGCTTCAGTAACGGCCCCTTTCATTCGTCCACCACCCTCCACCTACCTGAATGAATCTGTGATCTCAATGCGCAAGAGGAGGGCCGAAGAAGACGCGGCTCCCAAGAAAATAGTCTACTGGAGGCAGAATAAAAAGAAGGACGCTGTAACGAAGCCCGGGGTGGAGAATACTGTTCCTGAGCACAAGATCAGGCATCGCTGTGTGAAGTGTCTTTCCTCGTTCAGCACGGTAGAAGAATTACAGAAACACCAAGCACTCAACACGTGCTCGGCACTCTTCGGCTTCGACTCTGACGATGAAAGTAAGAATGCTCGATTCACTCGAGTATAAAAGCATTATCATGTGAATATTTCTAACCTATTGTACTGTTTGTTTTTTCCTTCATTTTTAGGTTAGTGGAAATTGAAAAGGACGTCTAACCGGAGCGACCGTTACACTCTGCTTCCAGGGTCAGGACAAGTATTCAAGATAAAGGAACACTGGACTTATTCTTGTTAACACGTGTGTATTCAGAGACGTAAATGTGCCAAAACGGTTAGTTTGAGGGCTTTTTTTCCTCTGTACATTTAATCCATAGAAACTTTTTTAAGCAATAATTTTGACAACTTAATCTAGTTTTGTACACCCCCCCTTTCCCCCCAAATCATAATCAGTGTGATCTTTGTCAAGTGGATAAAACTAAAACATTCAAATCATATTCTCAGAATCTACAAATATACAAGTAAATATAAATATATATTCACCTTTTGAAAGATAACGAGTCTCAAATATGGCCATGGACAAATTACTGGAAACCAAACACAAATGTCTGTACAAACACTGCTAGGTGTCACCTTCCAATGCAGACTTCCTATCAGTTTGACCTGTTTATACAGAGAAAATGACTATTTGAGTCATATACTGAATCCTTTAAACAGTAAAGGGGGACCAAGTTGTCATATGTTTCATTTTTCTCAAATGAACATTTAATTTTAAACTAAATCATGCTTTTGCCTTTCCGGAACATTTTTAAATACATGAAATCACTAAATGAACTCATTTTATGAACATTTTTTCTTGACTTCAGCAAATGGTCCCAACCAGTGTCTTTTCATGGACAACAATATTAAACACTATTTTAAACAGTTGTTAAAGATGTGTCGTGATCTTCAGGCTTAGTTTGCCTCGTGGGTCGAGGGTCTCCATTAATTTTCACATACAGTATGGCTGCACATCTGTTGGAGTATGTCTGAAACAGTATTATAACTGGCTGCAGCTTATGATTTAAACTCTCAACTATATGCTGTACTTACAGTGTAGATTTTCCATGCTATTTATTGTTAGCATTGTGTACATTAACAAACTGGTGGTTATGTCCTCTCTGTCCACATCTCTACAGTGGAACTATGATGGTAATAAATCAGAGGAGTTCTACACTGAAAAATAAACTTTGAAATGTGTAAGAGGTTGTGTTGTCAGTAATCTTAGTTCTGGCTGTCGTCCTCTGAAGTAAAGCAGGATAGGCTTTATTTAAATTGGTCTTCCAATCATCATCATGATAACAGGAACTTACTCCATGAAGCCGTAACCAAAAAGTCTGAATCCATGTATGTTGTACAGCTAACAGCCTGTTTGATTTGTATTAGTGCCAAGCATCTCAGTGTTAGACTGTAGGTCAACATGTTACACAGTCAAATCACAAGTTCTTCAGTTTTCCTCAGTTTCACTCCAGGATAATGTATTTCATGATGTACAATATTTCAGACTGGTTGTTTGTAATGTCTATACTCTGAGACTCTTGTTTGATCAGTTGAATAACGCTAATGAAATGTTTTGATTGGACTGCACTCTTTAACCTTCTTATTTATATGTACAGATGTGAATAGCTTGTATTTGGAAAGGTAATGATGATTGCCCATCTATTTTTATATTTAAAAAAAAAAAAAAGATTCATGATGTTTGAATAAACAAATGAAACTTAAAATCTGATGGTCTTGATTTGTGTTGTTATTGGATTTGTTGCACAAAATGGGCATGTGTGATGCAGCTCTGTGACATGAAATGAGATCAAAACAGTCAAAGAAACAGCAGACAGACTCATCACGTTTGTTTTTTATTCAGCATTGCATATTTACTACATTAACATATTGCTTTACTGTTAACCCCAGGAAAGAGGCAAACAGAATCATATAAGAATTGCTTGCTTATAAAAGTTTTTGCATTAAATTTTCCTGATTTATGAGGTAACTTGGAAAAAGACAGGGACCCCAGATGTTTCTCTTTTTTTTTTTTCTACTAATTTGAAACAAAGTATCTTCACCTTCTGGCCAAGATTCACATCCATTGAAGGCATGCACTCAGAAAGAGCACAGTCTATTCTCGACACATGGTTTTTAAATCTATTGCATGTTTAAATTGACATTTTAAATATGGCTTGGTTAACCAAACTTCAGTTTGCACAACTCTGTTTCAATATAAGGCTTTTAAAGACACTTTATTTGTTGGGCTGAGTGTTAATGTGTAAGTATTCATAAAAAAAAGTCTAATCATTATTTCAGCTGCGCATACAGCCTTTAAACTAAGCAGTGAGAGAGGCAGTCCTGTCACAGGCAAGCATTCAAGACTGGAGGGCGTCCAGTGTCTCATGCAGCAAATGCATTCCAGTTTAAACACATGCTAATGAATCCATACGCTTTGGTGCTGCTTACAACCCAAAGGCAAAGAAACTGACAGCTGTAATAATGTGCATAACATGATGTCTTTGCAAAGGTCAGATTACGGCATGTGAAGAATAAGTCAATATCATCTTGCAGAACAAACAGCATACAGAGATGACAAACTGGGTTGTCACAGTTTTTCCACTAACATTTACTTTGACCTGAGATAATTAAATCCTAAGAATTCCAGAGAGAGTAAAAGCTCCTTCTATTTTTTTTTTTTTTTTCTAATCTGCACACTCTTCTTCATCTACAGTAACCATATTAAATGAATGTGTGGCCATCCCATCAATACAGAAAATGGTTCACGTTAAAGAAGGCGTTTGAACATTTTAAGGCCGGGTCAACCAATGAAGTTGGATTTCATTGTTAGGGAGAAGAAGAGCCACTAACACATAAATTTTTTTTAAAAAAACTTGCAAACTCTTATCAAAATAAACTGCTACATTTGATCTTAATCATGAGTACTGAGTTTGTGTAATGAAAATATATATTCAAGACCCTTCCTACAATAAATTAAATATTAAGAGCCTGTTCTAACATTATTGTGATATGCACAAACAACATCTCCTCTGTGAGAAAAGTACAAATATGAGTCATAGTGCATCCTAAATAGATGCACTATTCTCACAGATTCCATTTATTCACAATATAACTCTATCTTATATTATTTTACGTTGTTAAAAAAACAAATCAGTAGCACTTTTCTGATTCAAGATGGAAGACCTGGATCAAGAAGCGGGGTAAACAACCATTTAGTTTCACTAGAAGAAAAGATCATACAAAATACCTCTCGGGGGGAAGAGATCAAGACATGCAAAAAGAACGACTTCGGTTCAGACGGGATCCTACAAAAAGGATGCTGTCCACAAAGACAGAGACCTCAGGAAGGTTACAGCCCCTGCATCACACTACAGTCCAACCTGTGCCAATCAAGTGAAAGACAAGAGCATATTTTGTGTGTAAAATAAAACAGCTCATTACCTGGGACAAGTTATGAATAGGAAATGTTCATCAGTGTCCATCTGGTGTTTTACTCTGTGTTTCAATGTTAGCAGTAAATATCCACTGGGCACCAGATGACAGAATGTTCCATTTATACTGTATTTAGGTATGAGCGCTGAAACAACTGTAAGAAATGTCATCAACTTGTTGAAGTCTGCAGGTTGAAATGGCCCTGAAACTATGAACCAGCATGAAATGATGAATGAGTAGGTTTGAAAGCTCAGAGGGTTCTGGTAAGGCTTATCAAGGTTATCTCCATCTGCTCTGATGAAATGTCCCTCATAAGAAGCCCAGTGAGTGTTGGATACAACTGTAAAGATCTTGATGATCTTTGACTCCTGAGTTCCTTACATGGTGTTGACCAACTAAAGCTATAACGAGGAAGCCATATTTTCACATTGTGATCATACAGTATGCTCAAAGTAAGCTTTGTCTGATAATTTTACTCGGACCTGCATGAGCAGAACGCACGTCATGTTAACTCTGCTGCTGCGTTAAAGTCCCCATGAAATGATAAATACCTTTTCCTCTGTTTCATTTATCTGCCAAATAGTTTTCAATAAAGCATTACCGGAGTATTTAGTATCGTCTCTTCCCGTAAAAACGTTTAAAATGTCCGATGACTCATCCTGAACTAAAGGGAGTTTGCTACTTTTTCAACCAATTAAATAGCTTTGTTGAAGTAACGATCCAATTAAATGAATCTCATGGTTATGTCCCGCCCTTTAACTTGTAATTGGTTCAATCCCTTTTCATTTGGAAATGCATCTGATACTCTCGTAGTTCCTTTTCATGGGGACTTTAAGTTCACTTTGCAACTTGTATTTTTTATCCCCTTGTCTTTACTTGAACCAATGAAACGTAAGGACATACAACTCATAAAAAGTAAATGACACACACAGACAGGGCTGTAGGAGCTTGCAATTAGACCTTGAAGCTAGGATAAGTCTGTAGGTGTTTCAGTGATACAGTGCAAATATCCCCTGTCACCACTCGGGTTTACAGTTTGATTTGCATAAAATATTTGCATTGTTAAAGACCACAGGGCTGCGTTTTGCAACACTTCACACTCGACCTTCAGGTTGTGGACAACGGCAAAGCAGACGACGCATTGTAGCTGAACGTGTGCGTGCTCAGTGGGAACTGTTGGTGCTCCAGTCGTATGGGAGAAAGCTGACTTTGGTCTTCCCAGCAGAAAGGACACCCTGCAGGCTGGTCTTCTTTGGAGAGTCACTCATGTGCTCCACCACCCACTTCAGCAGCTTTAAGGGAGAGAGGAGGGGGAAGAAAGATCACAAACTGAGGTTACCAGCTAGATTCAAGTTGTAGGGATGATGTCAGTGTTTTTCTACATAACCACCATGTATAAACTGTATCAACCACATTTCAGTCCACAGCCATGATTTAAGATCACTAACTAGACATACTGTACTTTAAGTGTGAACCACAAAAAAATAATAGCATTCTAATGTAAGCGTGTCTATACAGAGTAATGTAAATCTACCTTCTCATCAGTGCCTCCAAAGTCAGCTTTGTACCACTTGAATATCTGACTGAGTCGCACTTCTTTTTTCCCAGAATCCACCATGCAGCCGTCGTCGTTTTCAAGGAAGGCCTCAGCTGCCGTGCGGAGCTGGCTGTCAATGTCCTGAGAGGGTGAAGTAGATCAGGAAGAATTTTCAAGTATCAAGCAGACATGTTGTATAATGAAGGTAGAAAACCAGCCCAGCACATTCCCAGTAGTTTGAGTAACAAAATGCACTGCTGGTTTAATACAAAGTCAAAATCTTACATGACTTTTTCACTGCACTTTACAAATAAATGTAACCTGTCACATTGCGCACTGCAGCTGGTATGTGTTCCTTCCTAACAACCTACATTATGTTGTTTCCATGTAATACAATATAGAGCGTGTGAACCCTTAAAGCATAGAATACTCTAAGCTAACACTTTCATATTACTTCCCTATCAGTCCCTGTAGAAGTAAGTTTAATAAATGAGCTAAGACTAAGCGGAAATGAAACATCATTACTGGTGTTATACAACCTTCATCTTATCGGTCAGAAAACTGACCACAGTATTTGTCATATCCTCTCACCTGTGGAGTGTACGTTTTGATTGGTGGGCAGCCCTTTGCACCGCAGTTCAAAGCAAAGTGAATGAGAGGCTCGGCATCAGGAAGAGCCACCTAGTGGACAACGTGGGGAATAAAACCCAACAATATGTCAGTTATTTCACACACACAAAAAAAGGCATAGATGTTGAAATGTTACGATGGGGTGGAGCATCATTTGGGAATACCTGTAGTCGTGGGTCTGTTTTAGAGAAGGGCTTCAGAAGCTGTGCCATGCCTTTTCTGTTCCCTCTCAAAACGCCGTTCTCGATGTCCTGCAACGTGAACACCTCTCCTCCAATGAGGTAGCTCACATAGTTGAAGAACTATGGAAGAAAAATACAAATCTTTAAAATGCAGTTCCTGCTTAGAAGTTTTAATTGGATCAAAAAGTGAAATATCTTAAAAAGCTTGACAACAGAATGACAGACAAAAAAACAGAAATTAAGGTAATTCAACATTCAGTTGTGCTTTTTTGCATAGGTTTTATCTTTAAAATGAATGCTGGATGGGCACTAAGATTGTCAGAAGTATATACTTTTTTGTTTTCCTTAACTGTGCAGCAGCTCTACAGTGAGATAATATCAATGTTGTGAAAACCTGTAAGGAAACTCAACAGTGACATGTAGAAATTGGAAGGGTCTTGGAAAACAATGGGATTTTTTTGGGGGGGGGATAAAATAGTATTTTTAAAATAACTTAGCACTATCCTACTCTGTATCTCTGCCACATGTTGGTGGGGGCCCCCATGCGTAGGTATCCATGGATGACCAAGGCGTTGTAGATGTTGATGAAGAAGGCCAGCTTCTCCTCCCGACTCAGTGTCAGCAGCTCCACTCTCTGCAGCTGAATGGCTAGCTCACAGTAACGCTCAAAAGCAGGGCTCACGGACATGCCTTTGTAGTCAACAGACTGGAGGGGGGACGAGAACAGGAGAACACAGAACTTACATTTATTTAGAAAAGAAAAAAAATTAGGCAGTAGAAAAAGAAAATCGCAGCATCACTTGTATGAAATCAGATGTATTATAGGGTTTAACCACTGTACAGTAAGGTTGGACACCAGTGAGCATAAACCAGTTTAACCTGTGTGTGCATCACTTTGCTTCATCTATGTATGTAAAACAACTTGCAAAATGCATGGACTGTTTTGAAACATGATCAAAACCAGAAGCAAAACAACCAAACATCCAGGCAAATGCACTTCATCAGAAACTCAGACATATTGGGGACATTACCTTGCCATCAGCAGAGAGATGCTCGGAGAACAATTTCAGAATCAACTCTCGTAAAAGCAAAGAGAGCTCAGAGGCTGAGAGAGAGAGAGAGAGAGAGAGAGAGAGAGAGAGAGATGGTTGGTTAATAATTCATACTTTAACAATGTTTTCAAGGGAGAATTGAAAAGAGACAAGCATTAATGTTAGCAAAGCCACAAAAGCTTGAAGAATTGAAGAATGTTTGGATGTTTTGGAAAGATGGTAATCTTTGTGGGTTGAGATGTAGAATCAACAGAAAGAAGTTCTTAGTAAGATTGAAACATAAATAATGAGCAGGACGAAATTCCAGGATGTTAATTGGCACCAAGAAAAAAATCCTAAAGATATTATTAAATTCAAAACGATGTGAAATAAAAACATGAAAAACCTTTTTTTAATCCAGACTGATCAATTTTTCATGCAATATAAATGAGTTAGTAAACATAAGTTGTGACAGAAGAGCGCAGCAGAACAGCAAAGATTACAACACTCATAAAAGAACAGGCTCTACTAACTTATTTGTTGGACAAATTAACAGACTACCTTGTTAGTTAGCTAATAGAGTTACTTCAGCTATAAAAGAGTTACAACAGAGTGAGAAAAGGAGTCTCACCAACATAGGATAAAACAAAAGAGAGGAAATGACAACTTCACCGTATTAATCTGTCAAAAGAAGACACCAATAGGAACATTATGATATATATTTTCAGGCCTTTTTCCACCTTTATTCAGTTTCTATCTGGAAAAGATTTCTGATGTTTTATCATTTACAACTGATGAAACAAACAGCCAGAGTGCATCATTTTTTGACTAATTTAAAAACTTAAATGTCTTATTAGCTTATTTTCCTTTTACCAGATCAACGTAGCAAACTTGTCAAACTGCTGACGACTGCGAGTTTCAGTTGAATACTCAGTTGGAAAGTATGAAGAGGACCAAAAACATACTTCATGTATGTCTTTGTTGAAGTTAGTTTCACATGCTTATATTACACCACAGCCATCACATTAAGAGGAAACATCCATTGCATAAATCAATGGTTTGTATAATCAGTGTACTTCAAGTAATGAAAAATACAACAGAAAACTCAAAGTACTTGGCCAATATTAGATATATATCATAAAGCCTTAGTTTAGTTCTTAGCACCACAAAGTTTACCAGCACACCACACAAACCCAAGCCAATCCAGAAGCATCATATGACCAGACAGCAGCAAGAACAGGACAGGAGATAGAGAGCATTTGGACACCAGTGAGCATGAACCCAAGACGTTATGTGACTGTTTGCCCCAAAGCCTGGCCCGGTCCTGACCTACCCTCCATGGGACTGCAAGCTGCTGTCTGTCCTGCGTTGAGGGCTGAGTGAGGGTCATCCTCCAGTAGCCTGTACAGTGTTTCCATGGTTCCCTTCCCTTCTCCAAAACTGCCATCCTGCTGCCCACAGCCATGCACACTCACCATGTACTTCCTCTGCAACAGCGCTTGGCCAGTTTTACAGGCCTCAGCCCTGGCTAGCACACACAGGGCCACATTCAGGGGGTGAAACATCTGGATCTGACTTCATTTTGTGTGGATCAGAGATAGTTCAAATAAAACTGAAACATCAATGAAAGCTTGATTTACTGCAGGTCTACAGCCTTACTTACCCATTCCCTTCTCTCTCTGCAGCCAGTCAACCAGTTCTTCACCTGAGAAGCTCTTATTGTACAAAGTCAGTCCCCTCCTATGATTGCCAATCACACTGCCATGTTTCAGGTCCTCTACCAAGTCTGCAAACTCATCTCTTTCACACTGAAAGTCTGTGAGGGCGGGAATATGCCAAGCCACACATGTACAAACACACAAAAGATACATAAGTTCACACCAACATGTTTGAATACGTGCAACTATGCTGTTCAGCATGGATCCACAAAACATATTCCATTGGTGGAAAAGGAAGGTGATAAATATCCAGATCTATCAATAATTAGAATTTTAAAGGTCATATATTATTCTCCTTTTTCAACAAGTTGAAATAAGTCTCTGAGGTCCCCAAAAACATGTCTGAAGGTTTTTGTTCTAAATCCACTCTGATCCTGAATTTGATCATGCTTATAAACCTCTCTATTTCAGTCCTGCTCAGAACACGCTGTTTCTGTGTCTGTAGCTTTAAATGTAAATGAGCTGTGTCTGACAACGCCCCCTCTCTGGAAGGGCTTGGGTGGCTCGGGCTTTCTCGCTCCGTGCCCTTTTGTTTATGGTGAGAAGACAGACTCAGAGGGCAGAACAAACACCAAGCTGCTGGAGTGTCACTCAGCTTGGGGAGGACTTACTGCCCTTTGTGATGTCACAGGATGGACATTTCTCATGACTGGGGGGTTTGTGGACAGACTAGGGACACATTAGTGTGTATTTTGTAGAGGTGGGGTAAAAAATCAATACAGTATAGTATCACGATATTTTGTGTGGCGATATTTTATCGTCTCACGGTGGCCGAGTATCTATATTTTTAATATGATATTTTAGATATGCTTATTGAATTTTTAACCGCCGAAGGGATTTCACAATTTATTTCGAACAAGTTGTATTGTTAAGAATTCATGTTCAAGTTCAATTAGACTGAAATACAAATCAAAAGACTGAAGAGAGATGAGCAGACTGAGAATGTTATCTTCTTTGACAAAACAGTTCTTGATTTAGTTTAGTGTAGTGGACATAATATGCAGTTAAAAGGCTAAATCGCAATATATTGTATCCCAATTCTCAGCATATCGCAAAATGTTAAAAATCACAATAGAATCGTATTGTGTCTCGAGTATCGCAATAATATCGTATCGTGGGGACTCTGGTGATTCCCCCTCCGAGTATTTTGCATAACATGTGACTTTTAAGAAAGAGGGATCAAAGCACCTTGCAAAGTGAAGCAAACTTTAAGAACAGTTTAACTTGAATAAAAAAAAGATGAAGTTATCAGCAGAGGACAGCTGGCTCAACAGAGAACCAAAAAAGGTGTACACAGAGAAAGTGTTATCTAAAATGAATGAAACATGATCACAAAGCAAGAGATTCTATTATTGATGTATTTTTTTTTATCCAAAATCTAGACAACAACTGAAAAACATATAATAGTCATTCAGATGAAACAGTCCATGTCCTCCTCAGCCTCCCACATTTTAATAACACAATAACAAAATTGTAAAGTGATGTAAATGACTGACAGGATACCCCATGAACAGCCAAACTACTCTCTCAGGTGCCTGTCGGTTGCAGGAACATACAATGAAAAAATAAATACATTAATGACAGTAAAGTCATTTAAAGTACAAATGATATAATCAAGACGCTCCATGGGGCCAGATGAGAGGAATACATTTTTTTTTTTAAAGATTTATCTACGCTTTTAAGCCTGACTTATTAAAGAGACAGGACAGTGGATATTCAGAAATCAGGGAGAGAGAGAGAGAGAGAGAGAGGGCTTAGAAATGCCTCAAAGGAGCCACAGGGCGGATTCTAACCGGGGCTGCCCCCCTTTTAGGACTACAACCTCTGCACATGCGGCGTGTAAACTAACCACTCGGCCACCAACACCCCAGGATCAAAGTCTTTAACTGAACAATATAAACAAACCCATACATTCAGTTTGTTGGCACCTATCTCAGAAAACAACCCTGCTAGCTTGCTTTTGACTAGCATTAAAGTTGCTACTGGTCCATCAAAGCTCACATTGTTGGTAACCTGATTTCCTAGCTGGTAGAACAAACACTCTTGTACAGATACTGAGTCCTGGCTGCAGCAGCCACCAGGTTTTTTTTAAATTACAAACCTTGACCCTTTGCTGCTTATTAAGCCCTCGTCCCCTGCATATCCTTTCTCTCTATAGCCATTAATATCGAATGGAAGCCAAACACAGGATAAAAGTCATCTTAAAAAAAAGATGACACTGAATTAAAACAAGACTCCACAAACGGCCCCTTTGTGTAGACTTTGTTTACACAGTAGGGAACTGATCACTTTTAATGAGGTACTGTGAGGCAGCCTGGGCCTGCTGGGCTCATCCAGAGGATCAGGTTTCCTGTATCAACTGTCTGTGTTGGCATAAGTGACTGGACATGATCACACACACACACACACCCACAGACATCTGCCGAAACGTTTCACAATGTCAACATATGCCAGAACTAGTTCTTGAATACCATTCATGAGAGTCATTACCCTCACATTAAGGAAACTTTCCCATAAGAGAGGTTCCTTTTTATTTTACATTTAACAATCAATATCTGAGAGCCCAACTAGCTAAACACATCATGACTGACTGATAATCCCTCACCTCCATCGATGTCTTCAGCCATGTCGTCTAATTTATTCTCATCTGGCAGAGGGGGAGCATCAGCAGGAAGAGGCTCTTCCTTGACCAGATTCACCAACCTCTGGAGCTCCTCAGGAGCCTGAGAAAGATAAAACAGGTCAATATGGACACACAAGCTAGAGTAATGCTGAATAGTGAATATCAAACCCTTATTAAGTCTACAAAGTAAAATGGGGAAGTAGCATCTTCAGCTGCGTCTATTCCTCACCAATTTCTGTAGGTCATCGTTGCCCCCAACGTGTACGTTGTTAAAGAAGATCTGAGGGACTGTGCTGCGGCCCGTCAGCTCCTTCACCCTGGATCTTAACTCCGGATGTTTCCCCACATCCACATCGCAGACAGGTACTCCCAAACGTCCCAGCGTGGCCTTTGCTTGAACACAGTGTGGGCAGCCCTGGATGGAGTACACTGTTACCCGGCCAAGGGCATTTTTCTCAAACTCCCCCATCTGCAGCAACAGAGGAAATAAAGCGAGTGCAAAATCAGACGCTGCTCAGAGACAAGTTGGACAAGTTGTGTTTTTGTTCAGCAACATTCTGTTTAACAAGTGCGCCAACGTATGCAAATACAGCCTTCTCTGTTCTGCCCTCGGCTACTGAGAGCTGGTATTGATTACAAAGTGGGTGCTTTATTTTGAAAACTTAATTCTGCATTCACAGCATTGCAGATTAATCTTTTTTTTTTTTATAAAGGCCAAATTGAGGGATTTAATCCAGCTGTCTCACAGTCCCTTAAATGTGATTAGAGGAGTTAGGGAACAGCTCTTGAGTAATTGCTCATGACTCAACTTCCTCTCTGCTCGTGGATGAACATTTCCTCCCATTGTGTTGAAAGCAATCAAATGCAACGTGTATTTCATCTGTGTGAGCCAATGACTCAGTTCCTCATTCTGATAAAAGCTTTAGTGTACCAGCAAGTCAATGTTAGCGTGGGCTTTACCACACCTCAGGTCAGTTTGAAAAAGTAGATCAAGGTCCAAAGTCCTTTAACCTTCTCCATTGAAGAGCTCTATAAACAGAGCCAAAACATATGTAACATGGTAATAAGACCTTACCTTCCCAAACAGTGACCTCACTCTCTCTCTCTCTCTTTTCTTTTTTAACTTGTTTTCTTTTGTCTCACACACTCCTAACACCACACTTTACTGTAAAGTATTTTCTATTTTCGTAATAACGCCTCACACATTTTGATGGAAGACAAATCTGCAAATCTGGCATTTTATTGTATTTTAAGGAATTTAAAAATATGTTAAAGGCAGCTTGAGTATCCCGGATTGTAGAACAGCTGATACTCTATTAGTAAAGTCTTTAATTTTAATCATAATGCACATTCAACGAAATCAAACAGCAAAGCTATTTTATGGAAATACACGGTCATATAATGATAAATAAGAGAAGTGACACCAGGTATTAAATCATAACACACCTGTTTCTGTGAGATTCAGGTATAATCTACCAGCTGTACACACACTAGCTAAACTATACAACCGCGTTAACTCGCTAATGTAGACACATAAATAATATTAACAATACGTTACCTTTCAGCTAATGACTGGACAATTTTTAACTCGCTCAGTTTATCCCCGTTGTCCTGTAAATTAAAACATACTAGTTAAGACATGTGCTATGTGTAACACCAGTTAATAGGTCTCCTGTCGTTCAGGGAAATAACGCAGGTGCGCTCACAGTACACCATCACTGCGCAGGCTAGCCCATATTAGCTGTTTTAGCTAGCTTGTTTTGTGATGCCTTCAGCTGCTCCTCGTAAAATAACATTATCAAGCGCAGTCGGTTGACTTAAGAAAGAAAAAATACACTTAATATAAGCATATTACAGTCTAACACCTTAGTAATATGCGGCGCGTCATGCAGGACAGATAACTGCCTCTATAAACATTACATACATACATTCTGCCTTTAGTCCTGGACCTGGATAATGTTTTCAAACTGTGTGTGTTGTTGTAGGCCTATATAGCCAATACAAATATGCCATAATGTAATTAGGCTATATCATCTGACAAACATGGATAATACCTACCTGAAAGAGACAAGCAGATCATAAGACAAGACATTTTAAGACAAAGAAGACGTTTTAAACTGTATGCTTTTCATGCCAACCCCCCTCAGACTGGCCCTGCCCCAATGACCTGGTTGGATTTCAGCCACCAGTTTCAACAGAAAGAGATACCGGAACCAAACACTAGTTGTGTGTTGACAGGGCCTGATTGCACTAGTTCTTTTTAATGTTGTAATAAACTTTGGCAGGATGCATGATCCATGATATATAATGCTCTATATTAAAAGCAAGATCCTGGGTAGACTGACTTAGGGTTATTAAATTGGTATCAGTTTTTATAAATGTACATTTTGTAAAAGCTGATACACTTGCAACAGGACTTTGGCTGCCTTACATTAAGATTATGTGACCTACACATCATCAGTCAATTTAAAATGGCAAAAAATAAAAAATAAAATATCCAAGACTGTCTTCTTCTTTTTCATCTTCTTCGTCTTCTTTTTCTTCTCATGATATTATATGTTTACTACTAGCTACTGCTACTATTATGACTTATGATATCACCTACTCTCTGGATTTAGAAGATGGCTTTACTAATGTATTTTTTTTTTATTTGCCCATAATTTATTGTAAAGAAATGTAATTTTACTATCTATTTTAACTTTTAAACTGATGAAAATCAAACGTTATAGTCACAGCAAACTGGTGATTAGAAAATGCAAGAACTGCAAACTAAATGTAGAAACAATTTCATACAGAATCCAAAAAATAATCACTTACTTGTTTTTGGCTAAGGGGTGGCAAAATCGAAAGAAAATAATCACTCAATGCAGTTTTAACAAAAAACAAAAAAAAAACGACGAAAAGGAAAAAAATAAATCGCATTTAGTAGTGTTGAATGAACGCATTACTGAAGCCCATAATTCCTGCAGCCCTGAAGGCGACTTCCCTTTTGCCGGATGAATGTCATACCCTTGCCGCGGAACGATGTCAGACGTGTTTCCGCACGGACACTTTCCGAGTGGGACACGAATGGAGTGAAGAGGTGCTTGAAGAGGAGTTTTGCTGTGCCCAAGATGTCAGGATTAACAGATACAGAGCGAGCTGGATGTAAAAAGATACTGAAGTTAATGTCGAAAGGCGATTTACTGTCCCTTAGCGACACAGTCACGAATAAGGTGATAGTTGTGGAGGATGAGAGAGGTATGTTTTCTGTCTGGATGCTAGCTAGTTAGAATACCACATACCGGAACATACATACTGCACTGTACAAACAGCGTAATATTCAACATTGACTTAGCAGAGGTAGAGCGACACGTTTATTATGTTCAGGTGATAAACACTCAACTTGTCTTCACCCAACGCAGAAGCTACACACACCATTCTGTCCTTCACTAAAAACGCGGAGGAGTTTCTGAAGAGGAAGAAGGTTCAGCGGGACCTCATATTCAAATATCTGACCAAAGAGGGTGTGGTGATGCCCCCCAACAGCGAGAAACACCAGCTGGTGAAAAGGACGCTGCTGCTTTGGTTGCCAGGGAAGGCAAGTGATTGTTTGTAAACAGCTGACATCTTGTTTCATTGGATGTCAACTAAGCATATGTCAAACACAATTATCACTGCATTTGAGTTGACTGATATTGTCTTGTGCCTTTAAGGGTATGGATGATGAGAACTGTCCAGCGGAGACAGACGAGACCAACCAGGGACCGACCGATACGCCCTCACACTCCACAAACATGAAGGCTGAGGATGGCTGTGACCTTCTGGTGCTTGGTCAACAGTTCTGCCAGTGGTTTTTCCAGCTCTTGAACAGTCAGAACCTCTCGCTGGGACAACCGCCTCAGGACTGGGGACCACAGCACTTCTGGCCAGATGTGAAGCTGCGGCTCCTCGCTAGGTAAAGATGCCACTATAAAGAGAATAAAGCGTCTTGTGTTGAGTAGTTAGATCACCTTTTGCTGTACACAACATGTACATTGTGTATGTTTAGATTTTTGTTTATTACAAAGAAGCCAGAACAGAGACTGTTGGTGGGGGTAAAATGTCTGTAATGTGTTTGGTCTCTCCTGGATAAAAGATGTTCTATATAAGCTTGTAATTTTGGGGCTTAATTACTTTTTTTTAATTTAGGTTGTTTAATATTACAAGACAAAGAACATACTGTGATGTCCATCAATGCAGTCCCTTGTGTGACACAAGGACACTAAGATTGATGATCTGTCAGAAATGAAATGTTGCCAGTTTTCTAATTTATCATTAAATATAAACTCCGGCCATCACGTGTTTGTTAGCACATAAACGTGTTTTAATTCAAAAAATAAATTTGCAGTCAAATTCGAAAGAAAATATAGCAAGAACCCGGAACTGTGATGGCAGAGCTGTGTCTCTCTTTCTCAGGGCTGGCAGTGAACAGATGGAGGAGTTCCTGGGAGCTGAACTGGTTAGCCTCCGTCTCCAGGCCTTGACGAGGGAGGAGCGCCTCATCCTCATGCCCAACCTGGAGCCTCGAGGACTCAGGGTGCTAGCCTCCCCCCATGGCCTGGTGCTGGTGGCTGTGGCAGGGACCATCCACAGAGACAGTGCCTGTCTGGGCATTTTTGAACAAATATTCGGCCTCATCCGCTCCCCGCTTGAGAACAAATGCTGGAAGATCAAGTTTGTCAACCTGAAGATCAGAGGGCAGGATGCAATGGAAGGGACAGAGATAGTAGCTCCAGCTTTGACTTACAACTCCACTGAACTGCAGCTTCTCTGCAGCTCATGATACTCTTAACTTTTACAATATGTACCAATCATGCTTGACTGAGCATGCTCTCCTTTTACTCATAAATCAACCAACTTGCGTTTATATATTAGTTTATCTAGGCTGTTTATCTGAAGCCAGAACTCTACTTGCACACTCTGCTCTCCTAGCATGCCTTATTGTGATTTACAGGTAAGTGGATAATGTTTACCTAGGGGGTATTTAAATTATCTAAAAACATGACCAGCAAAAGGATAGGAACGCCATCTTATTGTGTTCCACTTTTAAGACAATTGATTGTTTCGCTTCTTTTCATGGAAACATGATTTCTTCAAAGAAACTGTACTTTATTTTTGTATCTAGTGCCTTCATGTAGACAAACAGACATGAATGTGCTGTTGTAAATATGTACCATATCAAATATAAAGATATTAAGTTAAGTGTTCACTTGTGCTCTGTATGACAGGAAGGTTACTACTTTTTTTAAAGGTTTATTTGGGGCTTTTCATTCCTTTTATTAGAGAAGTCTGAAATCAGACTCAGAAATCAGGGAGATAGAGAGAAAGTGGGGATTGATATCTGGGAAAGCAGCCACAGGTTGGATTTGAACCTGGGCCGCCTGAGTACTACAGCCTCGGTACATGGGGGAGGGGGGGGGGCGCACTTATCACTACACCCCTGGAGCCCCAGGAAGGTTACTGCTTAAAACAGAAGTAAAATTGTATGTTCATATGATATGAACAACACGCAATAAAAAAAAGATTTGTTTTAATAATTTGAGGTCTCTGTGCTTTCATTGGATCAGTCCCCTGAGCAGGGACCTTTCCCATGGCCTGATGTTTATGGCTGTGCTAAACTTTTATATATTGACGTTTGTAAAATGTGACACGACATTTGACACATAAATACAGCAGAAATCAAGTAGATCCTCTTTAATATCTCTGAGTCATGATTGTCTACAATGAGTGACAAGCCCAAGTCCCGCCCGCTGTACTGTTGTCAGAGCTGTGTTTACATAATGTTTACATAAACGGACTTATTTATAAAGCTGTTTTAGTCAAGAGAAAATAAGATAACACAGCCTACTAACTGCTTATATGGCTGTCACGTTAAGTGTCTTTAGATCCCGGCCATTCCTTGTCAATGTATGTGCAATATGAAGCTATGAGTTTACCAAAGTGTGCTAACATTAGCCTGCTACAACAAAAATGCAGGCCAATTCCAGCTCGAGCAAAGCAACATTTTATGGTGCGTTCTAATTTATAACTCCTTAGTGTGAACACGAGTGGAGAGGGCTTGGAGTTATGTTGCTGGAGGAGAGAACAGCAGTTTGTTTTGGTTTAGTGCTGGTGCTCAAGGGCGACACCTACTGGATCAAAAAGAAAATAACTGCCTAATTGTTGGGTGCTTTGTGGGGGGGGGGGACTTGTTTAGTCTCCTCCTTAACAGAACATAGATTACTTTGGATTTCTTTACTTGTTCATATGTAGCCTTTGCTGTGCAGTTTCAGATGTGTAAGGCTGAAAGGCAGACCTTAGAAACCCTGTATATTTATATTTTTTCCCAAAGTGTTCTCAAAATGAACAAATCTATTATTTCTATTATTATTATTCTATTCGTGAATATTTCCAACCTCATTTGGCATCAGAGGGCATACATGCCCTAGCAAGGACAATCTGTCAGAATAAAGACACTTTTAAAGCCCAAGAATAATATTATTTGATTGACAGGGCTAATAAATTGTTTGAGCGTTGCCATTTCTTTTCCCTTTCACGCTGTTCGACCATAGCTGTCATTAACAGGCTGACAGCCTCCCACACAACACTGACATGACTCCTCTGGGTGGTCAGATTTCTATAAAAATAAACCGTGACCATATTTCTTCTTTTTATTTGTTCATTGGACAAATTGTCATATGGCTTTAAAGACAGATGAAATTGAAATGAAGACAACAGAATGTCTTAACTTTTAGTTCTGGAGGTTAAGTCTCCTCTGCTCAACGAGACATATCAGGGTGGTGAGGGCAAGAGTGAGAAGGCAGGAGAGAATCCAACCTCTTTATCTTGAACACAGGCTCTAGGTTAAGTACAGTAAGTTTGGCAACAACAGAGGAGAGGCCTTAAAATACTTGACATGCATTAAAACCGCGATACGTCTCCATAATAGCTTTTCCTGTCTTACTAAGGTGTATTTTTAGCCACATTTTAGCTCAACAATACAGCATTTTCACTATTATACCATGAAGTATATGCCCCAAATTGGATAAAGCTAAATAATTAATCCACAGCATAATTCAAAAGCGCCAAATTGTCTCCTTATTTCTAAAGTGAATCTGATTTTCCACTGATTCTACTCTGTCATCCTCCTCCTCAGGTCTTCTGGGGGTCTGCTGGGGCACAGAATATGCCAGTGTGACTCTGTGGCTTTGGTGGCAAATGTTACATGTGGGAAATTATTCTTGGCAGCTGTTTTCAAAGGCCCCTGGAACAGTTAATATCTGTGACTGTATGGGTCGGAGCCGCGTGGCCCTTTGTGCTTTACTGGGCCATAGTTGTGGTGAGGGGGGGAAACCACTGCAGCCATTGATCTCAGCCTGTTCACCTCTCTGTAAGAATAATAACAAGCTGCTCGCCTGCTGTCTTTATGGCACTTGGCTTCTCCACATTTTTAATAAGCGGTTTGGCCACGGTCGCAGCTCTGACGCACACGTACCAAAATACCTTTGCAGTGGCGTCTGGTGATGGTTTTTGACTTCGAGAGCTTCCCCCCCCTTCTTTTCTCTAACAGGGAAGTGTGTTTCCCATAAAGGAACATGCTAAAACCTACATCCATGGCTCTTTGAAATAACGTATGGGTGGTGAACCAGGCAGACTGCTGCTTTAATTGTCTATCCATTTTTTTCCCCCATGGTTTGTACTTTGATTGGGACTGATTGCACGTTAGCGTTGCTCATAGGAACAGCCTCATTAGTTATCAAAGATTACTTTATTAAATGCTTCATGCTACCGCCATTTTTCACTCTCCAGCATTATGATGGCTTTACAGATCCATTAATGCCAAAGTGTATTTTTAAAGAAAGGCCTCCAGCAGTAATTCTTTAAGTGGTGCCCGGGGACACTCAGGGTTTTCTCTGGGACTTCAGAGAGTCCTTGAAGTGGTTCTGGATATTTTTTTGAAAAAATGAGGAATAAATCCAATCTTGATTGAACTTTAAGTCCATAGTTACTTTTAAAGAATATGGATGGAATAAGACATGAAGGTTTCACTCTCACTGTTAACTTCCAGATTATAAAACAATAATTCACCACTTGTCGTAAAATGTCCAATATAGGTTTGTGTGTGTAATCATGAAGTACCCTGTGATATCAAATGACATGTCTAAAAAACCTCTGTTATTTTATATTTCTATTCTTTTTGACATTGATAGACCAATGAGACCTGACCTCATGACATCATGCGGCCAGCAGAGGGCAGACAAGCTACACCATACAGAAGAAAGCAGACTTTGATCCCTGGCCAAGTAAAGAAAAAAAAATCCTTTTAACACCATTACGTGAGGAAACTCATCAATTCCTAAGAGCAATCTGAGTTAGCTGATGTTACCAGGCAATTTCTATCCGGCCACAGCCACGAGGAAAACTGTAAATTTTTCAAGTCTGAATTGTCCTCCATTAAAGTAATGGGGTTCTAAAAGAGAGACACGTTCAACTGTTGCCTTTCACAGGCACAAGAGCACATATTTCCCCATTTATTGAAGTGTCAGTCATTTATCGGTATCTGTGAATGTGTCGGAGACAGCTTTAACACAGTATTCTACACAGTCTGCACTCACTGGACAATAAAGAAGAAGATTTATGATTGGTTAGAGAGTCAATCAATAGGCAATGATATTTCTCCTGCTAATAAAAAGAAAAAAAAATTACAATTTTGAGGAGAACTCAAGCAGAGTTTGACGACCTTGTTTTGTTGGACTTGCCCTCCAACCCAGCAGTGTTTCATAAACTAGTACACACTAAAACTGCACAGAAACAACCACATAACTCGGGGAGGAGGGAATGAGGTCGACTGTTTGGCATCAGCGTTAAAGCCACAATCCACAGTTCTCCAAACTTGTACTTTAGCTGAGGGGGGGTTTACGTTTTTTTTAACTTTTTGTTTGGGCTGAAGTGTTATGACAAACTGCTGCGTACCACTGCAGGGGTATCATTAAGATTTGAATTGTTCTACAGCTGTTGCACTTCTACTACAATATGTTATCCATAATGAACACTGAGAACATAAAAATACATCAAGTTATTACAATGTATCACAAAGGTAATAACTTCCCATGAAGGTCTACTTAGAGTCAGGATGCAGCAGACATTTGCATTTTTAAGTCATTACCCAAAGAAGGAAAGGGTTCAACAGAATTAAAGCATCTTTAGAGTCAGGTTTGGTCTCACATTACTTGACCTTCCATGACATCTAAGGCCTTGTTTGGAGGGGGCTTGACCCCCTATTCTCTGTTTGCAGCACGTATTTCCCCTGTGGCAATTCTCCTCAGTACACTCCCCGATGTCTGAGCTGACATCATTGTTCTGTTTGGACACAAATTGGTTTGGACCGACAAGGCAGTCGTCACAGTTCATATCAGCCCGTCTCTTGGCCTGGTGGTGTATCCTTACACATGCATCATTATCTCACGTAAACAGTGGAAATGCGAGACTGTCCGGGGAACAAACCCCGTTCAAGGCAACAAAGCGAGGGGCTGAGTGAAAAGATCCTGGGCGGTGACACTCTCGTTTAGCTTCAATTAACGAAAACAACGAGCAGAGCTGCTGGTGAAGGCAGCTGGGTCCAATGTGTTTATTTGTTCTGAGGCAAATATGTATGACTCAAGGTCTGCATGCATCCAAGGATGTTTGAATCACAAAAACATGGAGAGGGAACAGGGGTTAGAAAAATGTCCCTCACATTGAGATGTACTTGAGTTGAACACAATGCCCTCCCCTCTTCTCTCTCTCTTTATCTCTTTATGTCCCTCTGTCTCTCTCCCTCTTTCACACATAGAGGATCTACTGTGCATCCTCGCACTGAGTCCTTTTCGTATGCAGTGCAGGGGCCCCGATGAGGGCCTTCCCTTGGCTCTTCAACCAAACAGAGAGGATGGTGTTATCAGGATGCTGCCAGGAGGTTGTCAGCTCTTATTGGGCCGGGCTGACCGAGTGGCCGTTTGGCGGATGCGTGTCGATGCCAGGCTCCCAGCGCCTTACCCTATGGACATCTGCTGCGTGTGGAAAGAGCTGTGGAGTTTGTCTGTGGTTGCATCTTAATCCTCCATCTCTTCAGCTCCAGCCATGCCTGGCCGCACAAACCAGCAGCTCTGCTCGCCTTGCTTGTATTAATTGCCCTTGCCTGGCTCGCTGTTTGCTTCTGATTACACTCATTAATTTCAATTCCCTAGGAAGCCACCACCACCGTAGCTGCATTTAGACACACACACACACACACACACACACACACACACACACACACACACACACCAACTGCTCTCATTCCTGCGTAAATGCATATTTGTATTGCATTACATGCATTAAATGTATGACGTGAGATTTTTTTTTCACAGAGATTTCTTGGTCTAATTTTGCACATGCACACACAAATAATACCACAGTCCAAGTTCATAATAGTTGAGAAGCCATACAATATAATTTTGAGTGTCAGTGAAAATGCCTAAAACACCACAACCGTCATGTAAGATATTTTTATTATTTGTAATTTATTGTTGTTTTTTTC